GCTCAATGGTAAAGTACTGGCCTAGCATGCGGGAGGCCCTGGGTTCAATCTCTAGCATCTATCTATCTATCTCTATCTGTCTATCTATCTATCTGTCTATATCAAGTGTGCTGATACATGCCTGTAGTCCTGGCTACTTCAGGAGGCTGAGGCAGGAAGATCACTTGAGTCTGAGTTTGGAGCCAGCCTGGGAAATATAATGAGAGTCCATCATGATAGACAGACAGACAGGGTCCATGGAAGGTGTAACATTTCCTAAATTCAAGAATGAAAGAGGGGACATTACTATGGACCTTACAGAAAAAGATTTTAGAATTAGAGCATTGGTGTTTCTTTTGGTTATACATCAAATTTTAAGAAGAAAGAACACCAAGTTCTAAGGATTCTGTTTAAACCAGTACACTAGGTACTGCTCAGAAAATAAGACTCCCGACTGGTAGTTTGTACATTCTTCACACAGGAGCAAAGAACTAAAGGATAGAAATCTATGCTCACCAGTGATGTGGTCAAGGCTGAGAACACGGAAAAGAAGTTGCAGATGATGCCTGACTTCTAAGGCAGTGCCCAGTGAGGATGAGATCTGGGAGTGCAGGTAGTCAGAAACGGCAGAGGGAAGAAAGCCAGATAGGGGAAGGCGGACTGCAGGAGAACCCCACCAGATCAAGTCCAGTATCTGGAGGGTTAGAAAGGGAAGCTAGGCTACCCTACCCCTGGATCACAGCACTCCTCACAGCCCAAGTCTAGCAAACTTGCTATCGTGAGAAAGGATCCAATGACCTGCAGGACAGAGCCAGCACCTCAGTCACTGGAATAGACACCTAACCTCCTTTCCCTGCCCACTGGGAAAGGAATCGGCACCAGAGAAACTGCACGCTTCCTGGCAGCGCCTGAGAAAGGGCGGCAGGCCCTTGGGAAAGTTGAAAACAGCTGCAAGATTCGGAATAGGAACCACCCCCCCGCCCCCTGGGTCTGTGCAGGACAAGAGGAGGCTGGGGAGTTGCAGAATTGAGCAGCTGTTATCAACCGAGAGACTAGCGGGGAAAGGGCGCCCGTTGTTCCCCCAAACACCAGGAGTGCTCTGCCTCTGGAAATACGGTTTAGTACCCACCACCCACCATTTGGCTCCTGCACACGACCCCACCACCACCACCGCCACGAGCTGCTGAGCGCTGGGAGGGCACCAGGGAGTGTGCGGGCTGGCGCTGGCACAGCGGAGAGCGAGAGAGAAGCCTGCAGAGCGGAGCTCAGCCAGCAGGTGTGGACACGCTCTTCCCGACCTCGACCTCGTAGAAAGAACGTGGAACGGAGGCAGGGCTTATCACGCAGGGACGCAGCGGAGACCCACAGGGCCCTCTAGGAAATCAGCGAAAATTTGAGCCCTGGCCTAACGACACCGCACCTCCCCCTCAGCCCAACGGAAGGAGTCCAGTGGGAAGACAGGCAAGGCGCACCCACAGCAAGAAACCGAAATTAAACAGAACTCGGGGCACAGCAGGGAGGCGGGCCCAGATCCCCTAGGACTGGCTCAGAGGGTTGCAGGAGTGGGCTGGGGCCGACAAGGGCGAGGAGAAAAAGCACCTTGTGGACAGTGGTGTTTTGTGAAGTGCAGAGCTGCATGAAAGAACCAAACCCAGAAATCCATCCAGACCCCACAACCCCACTCCCACCCCAAGGCTAAGCTTCGCCTTTGTGAATATAGCGGGAAAAAAGAGCTCTCCTGCTCAATTCGGACTGCAGTGTAAATACGACTGTGAGGGCACTTTAATATGGTGTTCTTGTAACTGTGTGGAATGTTGTTGTTGTTGCTTTTTTCCCTGTCTCTCTTTCTTAGCCTTTTATCTCCCTTCTTCTCCACTCCTCCTTTTATCTAGCATATATATGGGAGATATGTGGCTATGTGGAAAGTAGAATAAGAATTAAGCAAGGCTGTAACATAGCACCTTTCATGGGTAACCCTCACCGAAATAGTGTATAGCTATACACTATAGGGTATAGTGTGTACCTACATAGTGTATAGGTTCCAGCCTTTTTACAGCTTCCCTCCAACTCCAATTGCACTTCCTCCCTCTGCACCCTTTCTGCTGTTTCCACAAATATTCTCTCAAACCTCCTCCCCACCAGCCCTCTACTTTGGTTATAGAAATACTAAAAGAGTTTATCTCCTCTCTCTTTATTTTTAATGCTTTTTTCTCCGCCTATTCTTTCTGATCTGCACTCTTTCCTTTTATCTTTCTTTCTCCCTACTACATCCCATCCTACTTGGCAATAGCGTCGCAGAAGATGCCTGTCCCCAGCCAGTGTACTGTAGTTTGTTAGTTGCCCAAGTAATAGTTCTGGTTACAGTTTCTGTTACTTTTGTGTCTTAGAAATGGCTGGTCACTGTGATGCGTAGCTGGTCACTATGATGCATATTATAAGAACCAATCCCGAACTGGTGCAGGGACAATGGGTAGCATGGGGGCCACGCTGCTGTTGGTGCTAGGCCTCATGCTGCTGGATGTCCAGGGCGCCTCCGTAGCTGTGGGCACCATTGTGACCACCGTGGACAACATTGGCTCCAAGGTGCATATGGCCTGCGTCATGAACCACAGCAACGTCACTGTCACTGGGCACCAGTGGCTGAGGGGCAGCAAGGTGCTGAAGGAGGACAAACTGCCTGACCTGCGCACCGAGTACCAGGTGGACAAGGCAGGCAGTGCAGGCGAGTACGCCTGCGTCTTCCTGCCCGACCCCCTGACCAGGGCCAAGATCCCTGTGAGCGGACCCCCCGTGATCAAGGCCATCAGGAAGTCTGAGCAGGCCACCGAGGGGCAGACAGTGACACTGGCCTGCAAGTCTTACTCTTACCCCCCCATCGACACCTGGGTCTGGTCCAGGTTGTTTGACTCCAGGGACCAGGACATCACCAACGGCTCCCAGAGCAAGTTCTTTGTGAACTCCTCGAAGGCCAGGTCTGAGCTGCTCATTGAGAACCTGAACATCACCTTAGACCATGGCACCTATGCCTGCAGTGGCACCAACTCTGAGGGCACCAGCAGGGCTACCATCATACTGCATGTGCACCACCACCTGGAAGCACTCTGGCCCTTCCTGGGCATTATAGTCGTGATGCTGATGCTGATCAACATCATCTTCATCTGCGAGAAGTGGCAGCTAAATGAGCCCGTGGAGGATGATTACGCGAGATCTGCACCTCTCAAGGGCAGCATGGCCCGTGTGAATGTCACAGGCAAGAACGTCCACCAGAGGAGTGCCACCTGAGCAGCACAGTGGCCCAGGTCCCATCCCCACCTCCCACAGGAGTCCATTCCCTGCCATCAAAGTGCCAGATCCACTCACCTCAGAAAACCCATGTAACAACAGCAAATCCACTATCGATCTCCACATTTGATTTTTTCCACATTTGAGTTTTTGTTAACTAAAGGAGGGTTATCTATATAAAAAAGGAACCAATCCCCAATTGATGAGCCATTCGGCCTCTATGCTTCCTGCTTTCTTATCCTGTATAAGCCCTAGACCACCAGAGATTAGGGTCTGATATTTTGGGGATGATCCCAATCAGTGTCCATCAACAAAAAATAAATCTGCCTCCAAATTCTGGGTATCATTTTGGTGTTTCTGTTTGCTATTGCATTAGTAGTACATTAGAGTCTTTATGGGTCAGTGAACAAGGGTTAAATTGTTAAAACAAGTTTTAATGTACACACAGTTGTATTTGTTACCTGATCCAGAGTTCAGGAATGGAGACATGGTGGAATCTGTTGATGCTGATATAGCTGGTAAAGATTCTTTCTTCACAACACAGTGACTTGGTCTAATCCTATCATGCTAAATAGACTGAAGGGATATATAGAAACCAAAGTACAACCAAAGCCAACACCACATCAATGGGAAGCAAACATTAGTTAACTAAAGAGCTCTGCATACTAGCATCAGCGTTTTACCACTTGAACTGACCCGAAACCCTCAGCAGAAAAAAATAATAGAAACATGAGAAAACGAGGCAACAACATGACTCCAAAAATTCATTACTCTTCCAGAGTTGATCCAGTAGACACTGATGGGAAGAATATAAAAAAAAAACAAATGGCTAAAATGTGTGAAGGGATAAAAGAAGAAACAACAACCAAGATCAATAAGATGTTCAGCAAGCTCAGACATGAGGTAATGAAACAAATAATGGATTTCATTGATAAAATGATCAGCAAGCATAAAGAATACACAAATAAAAAGCTGGGTGAACTAACTAAGATGATAATCTGAATGACCAATTTAGTAAACAATTAGAGTCCATGAAAAGGTATCAAATAGAATCCCAGAATATAAATTAGTCTATTGAAAGTACAGTGGTACCTCAGTTCATGAACTTAATTTGTTTTATGATTTAGGGGAAGATGGCTGTGTTTGTGTTTGTGTGGGGAAGATGGTCATGGTCATGTTTTCATCCAATAGAGACTTTACAAATGGAAGCAAAATTTTGCCAAACACTTTTGTGTAAATCAAATTGCAAACAAAAGTGCTTGTAAACCGAGGTATTACTGTATGAGCAGCAGAAATACCCAATATGAGGAGATACCAAACTAGAAGATACCATAGGGTTGATGTGTGAGACCATACACTCAGAGATACCTTAAAAATAACAAGAGATCATGGGAAATGGATCCACTAGCTTCTAGATGACTGAAAAAATAAAACCTAATGGAAGAATAATAGGAGTTAAAGAGAAAAATATAAGGTAACACAGAAGGTATTAAAAAATCTCCTTACAGAAATCACTGCAAAAACTTTTCCAAGTAGAGGGAAAGCTTTTTTTTTTTTTTTGGTACCAGGAATCAAACTCAGGACCTTGCGCTTGTTGGGCAGGCACTTGCACCACTGAGCTATATCCTCAGCCCTGGAAAGCATTCAATACACAGGGAAATGAAGTATATAGAACCCCAAATAGCCACAATCAGAAAAGAACTCCATGACACATCACAGTTAAGAATCCTAGCAGTCCAACACACGGACAGAATTTTAAAAGCTGTTAGAGAAAAGGAATAATTAGCTAATAAAGGTAAACCTATTATTAGAGCAAATTTCTCAACACAAACCCTAACCACTTAATAGTTTATCCCAGTGTCACTCAGGCAGCCTATTTATTTATGTACTGACTATCCCAAGCATTGTTCTGGCAGGTGTTGTTTCAACCAGTTAATTTTTTTTTTTTTTTGAGACAGAATCTTGCTCTGTAGTCTAGGCTGGCCTTGAATTCATGGCAGTCCTTTTGCCTGAGCCTCCTGAGTGCTGGGATTATAGGCGTGTACCACCACATCCAGCTTCAATTCTTGTATTGAATAAATTTGATAAAATCATTTTTATATTTCCTGTTATATTATTGTTGTAGTTTGGGGTTTTGCAAGGGGAAACAATTTAATACAGGGCATATCCTTTATAGAATTATTTTATAGTAGTCACCCAAAAAGTCATATACAAAACAGTGCAGGAAATCTGTCCACACACTAAAGACCAAAGAATCAAGCTGAGGGCCTGGATCCCATGGTAAGGTCCTGCATGAGTCCAGCTGAAGACCTAGAGCCCATAACAATGCCCCCCACAAGTCCAACTGGAGGCCAAGAGCTCATGACAATGGCTCATGCAGGCCTGTTTCACAGACCTGCACTGGGAAGGCCGAAAGGTCAGTGACAGAAGCTAGAAAGTCTGTGCCAGTGGGATGAAGGATCTGTTCTAGCAGGCTGAGGGATTTGCCCGAGAGCCGGAAAGGGACATTCAAAGTAAGAACAAGAACTCCCCTGAAAAGTACCACAACCATCCTCAGCAACAGTGAGGTCCTGAGCTCCTCCAATGATGACAATAGCCCAGCTCCTATCAGGAAAGCCAGCATAACAAGCTTCTCCAGGAGACTAAGCAGTGCACCATCTTCCCCTCTGAAGCCAGGAAGCAATTCTCAAATCAAGGACCAGAGCTCCCACAAAATGAAATGTAGCCATTCCCAGTGACAGCAAGGTCCCAAGCTCCTCCGAAGATGAGAACAGCCAAATTCATAAGGAAAGCCAGAATAACAAGGTCTTCCAAGAGAATGAACAGCAGCTCCAGGAAAAGCAACAACCCCAACAGCTCCCAACAGCTCCCAACAGCTTCTAACAACTCCCAACAGCTTTTCTTCTTCTTCTCCAGCTCTGCCTCTTACGCTGCTAGCAATGATCCTTAGGTGGGCCTCCCACACCTACCACCACACTGGTTCAGTTCAGCTGGGTGTTACAAGTTGACCACCAATTGTCAATCCACCACAATTATCTTATAAAAAATTAAGAATTTTTTCATAAAAAATGGAAAACTATGCAATTTTTGGTCATCCTGTATTTAAATAATCAGACTAGTAAGTGGTAAAGGCAAGGAGACTTTAGAGTGAAGTTTTTCAAGTCCTAGTAGAAAATAACTTTCAACCCAGATTAATACATCCTACAAAGCTACCTTTCAAAATTGATGAAAAAATAAAGACTTTTCCTGATAAAGAGTGCCTTAAAAAATTTCATCAAAATCAACACTACAAAAACTACTCAAGGATATTCTAGACAGACACGAGACCAACACCACCAAAGAGCCCAGTGTAGTGAATACATCAACCAGAGGAAGCAGTTAAACAAAAGGAAAAATAAAGGAATCAGCAATAGATAAATAACACAGTGACAATATACTATTTCAGTAATAACTATCAGTAATGGTCTCTCCTCCCTAGTTAAAAGACACACACTGGCAGATTGGATCAAAAACCAAAATCTAACTGTATGGTGCATACAAGAGATATACACAATGCATAAGCAAGATCATAGAATAAAACACAATGGATGGAAAACATTATTGTGTGAAATAGGGCTCAAAAACAAGCAGAAGTAATTATTTTCAGCCAAAACTGATCAAAAGAGACAAAGACAGTCACTGCATACTCGAACAAAAACAATTCAACAGGAAAAAATAACAGTTGTAAATATATGCACCAAAAGCCAACATACCAAACTTCATAAATCAAATCTTATGGACATAAGAGATCAAATAAACACCAGCACACACATAATGGGGGACTTTAATACCCCAGTATCACAAATAGATGAACTAGACAAAAAAATCAACAAAGAAATATCAGAGTTGAACCACACCTTTGAACAAATGGACCTAATAGATATCTACAGAGTGTTTTGCCCAACAACAGAATACACATTTTTCTCAGAAGCATACAGAACGTTCTCCAAAATACATCATATGCTAGATCATAATGCATGCTTAGATAAATACAAAAGAATTGAAATAATCTCGTGCATATTATCAGATCATAGCAAAATGGAATAGAAATCAAAGGAAAGCAAACCACAGAAAGTATGCAAACACAATAGGTTCAATAGTACACTAATGAGTAA